CTACATTAAACCAACATATTTAATAGCTTGCCATAGTGTCTGTGTGGTACACAGTAATTATTTTATATAGGCTATTTTCTTTTATAGAGCAAACACAGACACAAAATGAAAAAGGAAAAGAAATTTAGAGATCTGTGGACATATTTCCAAGCTAATTTAAAAAAAAAAAAAATTCAGTGCTCTCTACATTATTAGCCTTAACAAGTTCTTAAAGCTCTGTATACCAATTATCTTAAAGTAGGATGACCTCAAAATAGCGACAGTGGTAAAAAAAAAAAAAAAAATGTGTAGGAATCCTAAACCAATAGAATGTAATCCTATTTGGAAACAGTTTTCTTTGTTATGTTAATAAGCCCATATCAGTGCAAGGTGTGTTCTAAACCTAATCCCTTCTGAGTTAAAAGGATTGGCTTAGGCACAGAGATACAGCAAGCACAAATGGGGGAAGACAAATGAAATGAGGATTGACAAAGAATCGAGCAACTCCAGGGCTAACGATGCTGAGACAAGGAGCTTCTCCCACAGCTGACAAAGAGCCTTGTCCTATATCGGTGCCCTGATTTGGACTTCCAGCATCCTAAAGTGTGAGAAAATAAACTTTTGTTCTTTAAAGCCAAAAAAAAAAAAAAAAAAAATTACAGTGGTTTGGAAAGTGAATATTAGATCCTCCATTTATATTTTATTTAAGAATTAGGAAAAATTGAGTTTTACTACCTTATGTTTAAAATAAGGATTGACACTGATGGACTGTCACTTGTCCATACGGCAGAGTTACTGTCTTGTTTTTGAGCTACTAAGAACGAGCACTGGCAGCTCAGCTCCGTGCCGTAGAAGGATGGGGCAGTCGGCCCTCACTCACTTTGTCATCTCAGCATATCCTGACATACAGACGTTTCTGAATGCCCAGTTAAGTAGACTGACAGATGTATCTAGTTTAAAACAAAACAACCCAATAAAATGCACAAAAAGATTTTTTGCAAAATAACAAAACACCTGCCGATAGAAGGTAACAGAAGCACAAGCCAAGCTGAAGAAAATGACAGAGCTGACACCTCACTTTCTACATCAGCCACATTACTGGGTTAAAAAACCATAACTCCATCACATCTGACAAGTAGGACAAAAAATTCAAAACCATTTGAATATGAATTTACATATACTATCCTTGTCCTATGTATATTTTGTGCCTTGAGATACTAGCTAATGACAGTAATCACAATGAGTAAAATGTTTAGAACATGAAGACAAACTCTTACACTTATTCCAGTGAAGTTTAAAAAATCATACTATACTTAATCCAAATACAATCCAAACTCCTTTTGAGGTTTCTTCCTTAGTAGTGAAAGACAAAAAAAATCTACACTTTTCTTTTCTGACATGGGAAAAAATATAACAAGAAACTACATTCTTTTGTCAGGAAATATTGATTGAATACATGTAGAAAACATTGCTGTAGAAGTTAAGAAACAAGTATTAGAACCAATTATGCAATATAGGGGGTTTCCAATATGCTTCATCTTACAGGGCCTACAGGATTCTGAATCGATCATAATGAAATACACACGAAGAACTACTTCTTTGTGAGCCACAAAAGGAAAGATATCTTCAAAAGTAAATGACCTCCTTAATATGGAAAAACAAGGTAAACAGAAGTATTGATGGAGAGCAGCTTGCTTCTTTGACTACGATAAAAATGAGATTTAAAAAAAAAAATTAGCATCACATATAAAATGGATTCACTGCAACAATCACCGGCAAGCTATTATGGCAAAGAATCTGAAGCCAGAAATATTCAATGTGCTACAGAACGCCATCGTCATAGTACAGACAAGGAAGGAATAGGTAAGTAAATCATATAGAATTAAAGGGGAATGAATGCTACGGAGGAAAAAAAACCTAGGAACGAGGGAGATGAAAATGTTAATGGCGTGGTCAGAGGGGACTTCACCGAGTGGACATTTGAGCACAGTTTGAACAGGATAAGAAAGCCAAGCAGATCTGGGTGGGGAGGGGGCAGAAGCAGGGAGGCAGATAATATTCCAGGCAAAATGAGTAGCCAATGCAAACGCCATAAAAGATAAACGTGCCTGGAACGAACATCAAGGAGCAGCTACGGGAGACGCAGCATGAACGAGAAGGAGACAGGGAAAGAGCTGGTCAGAGAGGCAGGGGCATGAGGTGCGCGCGCAGGGGAAAGCAAGACATCATAAAGACTTTGGCTTTTACTTCTAATGAAATAAGAAGCCATTGCGGGACTTTGAGCAGAAGGGTAACGCGACTACGCATTAAAAATATAAAATTGTAACACCTGATTAATTTGTAAGATGTTGACTGAAAACAGGATAGGTGAAAATTTGCTAGTAAACTTCAACAAAACTCCACGCATTAATGAGGGGATGAGACTGACAAATAAACACTGAGGTTCATGAAGTGCAATCAGTGATGCTCTACTCCCACTGGATTTATGTCTTTGTAAGGTAAAA